ATGATTGTTGTTTAAGCCGTGTTGATTACCATTGGGTTTCCAAGCTTGATTCACTCCTTTCTCCTCTCCCCGAACCATGCAGATTGTTGCCATCAAAACCAAGAGGACTACTAAACTAACCTTTAGATTGTTAATTTGCATTGTTGTATGTTGATGTTTGAATGTCTGAAGATTGAGTTGCCAATGAAGTTTAGCAGGTATGATAATGGTATGTTTCAGCAGTCGTGCTGATACTTTATATATACCTTGGTAGCTCAATAAAGAGGAACCTTCGAGAAACAAACATGTCAACAATCGAAAATGATTTACTGCAATATTGAAAGTGCATGTGAGTGACAGTATCAGTATCTCTATCTCTTCACCAATACTCACATTCTTTTATTTTATTTTATATTATTTCATTTTGATTTATTACTCTGTTTTATTTTAGTTACTTTATTACTGTATTTTATTTTTCTAATTTATTGTATTTGAGTACTTCTATACAGGTCCTCCCAGGTTTTACAGAATTTTCTGCTGGTAAGTTTTAACTATGCTAGTCTTGTAGTCCTTGTCGAGTTGTATATGAATTCATAGTTTGTTATTATTGGAATCATCCGCTAACTGTACACCCTCAGAGTAAAAATCGATTTTTTCGAAAAATCTCCCCGGAATGTGCCTGTTTTATCTCAGAGGAGCATTTTGGGAACTTTTCAATTTAACCATTCGATAGAGCATAACAAGTTGTCTTTGTAAAACCATCTTTAAAAAATGTCGTCAGAAAGTCCTGTAAAACCGGGGAGGACCTGTGTGAAAGTTCACATTTTATTTTGTTACTTTATTTTATTACTCTAATTTATTGCTTTTTATTTTGTTGCATTTTATTTTATTACATTTTATTTTAATGCTTTGTTATATTTTATCTTATTGTATTTTATTACCTTTTACTTTATTACTTTCTTATATTTTATCTTATTGTATTTTATTACATTTTATTTTATTACTTTCTTTTATTCTCTCGACTGTAGGGAGTCATATGAAATAAAATACGTTATAAAACTTGACCAAGAGATTCACTTAGTTAGACAACACAGGGGTGGAAGGTAAGCTGGGGAGGGGGTCGGTATGGATCAATAGAAATCGAATTTAGGGAGTAAAGCACTTTAGTTCTGGAATCTTATTGAATTGTAGCACAATACCTTAATCGATATTTAATGTTAAGATAAAGTATTTAGAAATATTTATTTAATTCAATATTAAATTCATTTATCTAGGTAATAACTTGTAACTTAATAAAATATGTTTTGCTAATACATGGAAAACACTTCTTTTTATTATTAGATCTTCTTTCTGTACATGCTAATAGAATAAAACAAAACATAAGCATGATCTACTGAACATTTTAAATATAATACAATTGAGCAGAACAAAGATAACTACTAGGCACTTTGTTATATAAAGATGTTTTTTTTGTCTAACGAGCATCACCATCTGTTGATGATAATGAACTACTACTGGACGATGATGATGAGGAAGAAGCTGATGAAGAACTACGACGTTTTTCATCACCATTAGGTGCACTAAAAGAATAAAATAATATTTAAAAATAAAATCAACCAATATATTCTAACCGTTTTTCTGGTTGATATCCATCATTTGTAATAAATAATTCTTCAAATGGAACAATAGTTTCAGCTGTTTTCAACTCTAGATCAGCAATTTTAATTAAAACTTGACAAAAATCATGACCAATAATTTGTAACGTTGATATTTGTACTTGTATGCCCTAGAATAATATTTATTTGTCTATAAAAAAAAGTAAATTTAAAACAAACTTTATATAATCCAACATCAAAACCACTATATGTTGCTTCCATTGTATAAGCTAAATCAATTTTAAATTCATCCCAAACAACAATACGAGCACAACCTTCTTTTTGTTTTCGCATTGTAAATAAACAACTTTGTAATGAAAATCCGGGTATACCAGTAAATAATTTTGGAAATAATTTTGTTATTGTTGAACGACCAACAGCAGGACCAAGAAAATGACAACGAGGATCATTACCATAAAAGAAGAAATTTTTTTGTCTTGAATGACCATGAAAATCACAAAAAAGCTAAATAATAAATCGAATAAATAAATATATATTTTCTTTTATATAATTTCATACTGTTATTGGTCGCGAACTACACGTCGATAAATAGGCTAGTAAACCTTTTGTATGATAAATTGTTGGAAATAATGTAGGATTTGGAGATGACCATTGACGATTGAGATCTTTAGTAGCTAATGAACAACGTGAACTAAATAAATTTATAATTATATATAATGTTTCAAAGATTAATAACGTACCATCCATTGATAACACCATCTGGATTAAGCATTGGAACAATCTAAAATAAGAAAAAATATTACTATTCATTTTGACTAGATATTTATTAATAAAAAATATACTTTAAAAATATATCTATCTCGTAAAATTCGTGCTGTTGGTTCATCACTTAATAAATAATCAATAATTCCTTTCATAACCCATGATGCATTTGATTCACCTGGATGAACACGTGCTGTTAGTACAATATATGTTCTTTCATCTTTGATTAAAAAGAAAATATTCACATATTCTATTTTATATTTCATTAATATTCTTACGTAATGGAATTGTTTGATTTTCATCTTGATATAAATCATTTTGATTATATAAATTAGTTATTGTTAATAAAGGACAATCATTTTCAGATAATGTTTTACAAAGTACTTGTTGTCGAAAATAAATATTTGTTCGATCATATGTATTTGTCCAATTAACTATATCTGTCTAAATTTCATAAAATAGAAAAAAAAAGAATTTTTCTTTTAATTTATTTACCATTAATGTTGTATATGTATATGGAAAATGATAAGCTATATAACAAACATCATTATCATGTGGAAATTGTATATTGAATGTTAATGTATAATAAACTTTCTTTTTTCTTCCATAAATATTTTTATAATAAGAAATTTTTTCACCTATTCGACGCCAAAATGGTCTACCATTAAGTGCATCATGTACACTAAACATAACGGGTTGCATACCAGCATTAAATTGACTATTGATTTTTTCAAAATTAATTATATTAAAACGATATGTTAGATTATGACGCATATTTGATACTTCAAAATAGAACCATTGATGATGACGAAATGTATTTACATCAGGTCGAAGTATTAAATCATATTCTTCTTCAGTAACCTATTATAAACAAATGAATAAGAAAACTAAGATAGAATATATTGTTTTTACTTGAATAGCTTTTCTTAAATTTGCACTTTCAAATTGAGAATCAAACATAAGATGATCAACAGCTGATTGTGTTCGACATCTAAAAAGAATACAAAACAAATTTTTCTATCTTATTTTAGTAGAATGAAAAATTAAATACCTTTGTTCATCATCATTCGATAATGTTGTTATTGTTGATCGATTAACAAGTGTATCAAAATCATATACAGTTCGATTATAAATCGATGGTGGATAAAGAATTCGATGAATATCACTAAGTAATGTTGTTCTAAAAATATAATAATATAGAAAACTAATTAATTAATTCTTTTATTTTTACCTAACACTTCGCTCATCAGATTTTTGCATTAATTCATATCTTGGATACGATAATGCATTGAAAACATCTGGAAAAGCAAGTTTTGTAAAACTAAAAAAGTAAAATATGTGTTTTTCTTATTTCGAATTCTTTCTATTCTTTACCAGTAGGCACTTTTCGTAGATTTCGCAAGTATAGAATAAGTTTGACAAAATAAATTCGTTGGCATGCGCTTATAACAAAATCTCGATCGTTCGGCTAGACGTGTTAATGATGCTGGTAAAGTATTTTCAAATAATCGTGATAGTAAACTTTGTGTACGTGAATCAAAAATAGTCTGTGCTCTTTTCAAACGAAGCTATTGAAAAATAATATAAATAAAATCGAATCGAAAACATATGATTTACATACTATATTAATTGGATCATTTATTTCATCAAAAAATTGTTCATATGCAACAGATAATTCATATGCGTCACGCTAAAGGAAAAGCATAAGATCGAATATTATGTTAAACTTTCTTACTGTTACGGGTTCATTATTTGGTAATGGAATAGAAGAATTTGTGAAATTTTCTTTAGTAAAACGATCATCCTCATCATCTTCATCCTCTTCGTCTTCTTCATCTGACTTTCCACTATCTATTAAATTAAATAAATGTATCGATATTTTATTTCTTTTGTTGATATTCATTAATTTTTACCTTCATCATCTGGTTCCTCATCTTCAGCTAGACCCATTGTATCTTCTTCTGTTTCATCTGGATCGTTATCATCTAATGTTGTTGATATTTGACGTTGTTTATTTCTATTTAGATTTGGTTTTTTCTTAGATTCAACTGATTTTTTATCTGATCTTGTTCCTTTGGAAGATTTTAGACGGTTTGCTGTTGTTACTGTTGTGGAAGATTTTGATGCTGATGATGCTCTTGCTGTTGTCGTCGTTGTGGAATTTGATGATGATTTTGGTCGAGCACGTTGTTCACCAGGAGAATTTTGTTCACTTGGTGGAAAAATCAGTTTAGATTTTTCACGCATATCATCAGACTCTTTGCATATTTCAGGTTCTAAATCAAATTATTAGAATACAATAGAATAAAACAAATCTATTCCTACCAGCATTCATTAATTCATTCGTAACAATATAATCATAACCTTGTGGTAGCGTATATCGTACTGGACTAAAAATATTTTCAAGTGGTAATTGTTGTCTTGGACAACAATGTATCATAATATGACATGAAAGATCAAGAAATGTAGAAAAATTATCATTTTGTAAAACATTCATAGCTAATTCGTATAATAAATAGAAACCATTAGCTTCTAAAAATTGAAGACGACCATTTTCTAAATATTATCAAATGATTAGAAAAGATAGAATTTTTTTTTAAAGATTAATTATACTTGATTTAACTAAATTTAAGAGCACTTTAAGAAGATTTTCTTTTAGTTTGATTGTTCGTATACGATTTTGACCTTGAGATTTATCCATTAGGAAAACAACAGCTAAAATATCACGAACTATACTCGTAGACGTTGCACGAGCAGCTAGTTTTTCTAGAAAATATAGTGTATTGTTTGTTTTTTTTCATTATTCATTTATATTTTATCTTACTAGTTTGTGTAAGATATCGAACAACTGTAATAGATGATTTTTGTAATTTAGCATGACGACGATCGAGTGTTAATGCTAAGCGTAGTAAAGGTTGTAAACCTTGAGCTCGACATATAGCAGAAGCAGTTATTGCTAGAAAATTAATTTTAAAGTTAAGGATTTGTTTAATTAAATTAAAAAAATAATAATAATCTACCATTTTTTGCATAGATTTTTAAAAGTGTTAAAATAACTGGACAGATTTTTGCATTGTAACTATATACACGTAATAAACCAATTGTAGATCCTATCGTTTTGAATAGACGAGCTTTTAAAGGAAGACGTTTATCTAGTAGAGAAAAGAAATTAAGTGAAATAATTGTTATAGAGATAGTACAAACCATGATGACCAATAATCGCTAAAACTTGATGAATTTGTAATGCGACCTCTTGACCTAAACCTCGATCATCAGCAACTGCACGAAGATTGTGCAATAAAAAACTGCATACATCATTTTTTATTAACGCTTTAACCAATGGTCGACGTGTTTCTTTAAAAGACAAAAAAAAATGAAATTTTGAACAGTCTCTATAATTTATTTAACAAAGAAAAATAAACTGATGTATTGAGATTATATTGCATAGTAAGAACCATGAATTATTCATGGTCATGGATCTTTCTTCTCGCCAGATACAAAGATTGTATACTACCTTGAGTTTTATCATATAGAAAGATCTGATGATAACTAACAGCGGGTGAGCCATAAAGAATAGCCCATCTGTTGCAATAAGCCTAACAATTTCGTTTTCGACATATCTGATATATTTTACTAGTTTTCATCGGATCTTAATAACACGTAAAATCTCACTCTAAAAACGATTTATCACTTTATAAGATATGTATATATGGTACATCGATCTACTCAAAGTCATTTATCAATGTCACAATTAGTTCTTTTCCAGTATAATCTCAGTAAACATAAAATATTTTGAGTAATTATTTGTTTTTATAATACATACTTTTATCACAATCGAGTATTTCACGTATAGTAATAAGTATATGACTTAATAATTCAAAATCATCGGAACAATTATGCATTGAAAGTAAAAGATCGACAATAACATTGGCATGTTTTGCAATTAATTCAGCATTTGGTTTTTCTTGAAAGATAAAGAAAGAATAAGAATTTTCTATTATATTTCTTTTTGCTAAAACAAAAAATTTACCAGCATAAAAATGTTGATTAATTTTTCGTACAGCATAACGAATTTCTTCTTTATTATCTGCTGTTGATGTTTTCTCACGTCCTAATGCTTGACCAATACGTGCAAACAATGAATCAGTTCTAAATAAATACGCGCTTATTTCATTTATTATTACTATTAATTATAAAATATGCGAATATTAATCTATATTTTTGTTCTTTGTTTTATTTCTATCAATATTTTACAAATAACATCTGCATTCGATTTACTCAGTATGTTGCGTCGAGCTATTGGTATTACAAATCAAACCAATAAATATCAACAAAAATCTCATAGGCAATTATCATTGAACACGAAACCAATTTCTTCTCGAACATATGATTTTAATGATTTACATGATAAATATTCAAATTTCATCGATGATGATTTCTGTCGTTGTTGTTCATGATTAAATCTTTTTGGAAAATAAATAAACTTATATATTTATCATAGATGTCTTAAGTACTACATTTACTAAGACAACAAATAAAAAAAAGCAGAAGAAAAAATATTACATACTTGTTGAGAGGCATCAATGATGCTTCAGAAATAATAACAATGAATGGTCGACGAATGAATTGTCGAAATTCATAAACAGGCACAGATAATATTAAGTACAAGAATGGGACATTAGAGAAATAAGAACAATAATCATAATAAACTACATAGAAGATCTAGAAAATAGATAGGCAATAGCTTATATTACATTAATAACAACAAAGTAGTATCGTAGAGAACATAACGTCACAAAATATACAAAGAACGAGATATTTCCTGCTAGACGTCATAAGAGGATTGAAAGATCTATGAAAGAAATATGTATTGCAGACGTAGAATAACATAAACCATTTGTCAACTATTCTATATATATATATATACATCAATGAATTATGAAAAGGAAATAAACACGTTCTCTTCTCTTCGTTTTCCTTTTTTTTTTGAAATGTCAATGATAGAATTTATTTCCTAATGTTTTCACAAATCTATAACAAAAACAAAATAACTACATTATAAAAGACATCAGCTATTCTAAAGTAAAGTATTCCGATTGATTTAAAAGAAAAGAAAAAAATATCGTATATAACTGATCTTGTTAATTATTTTTTTCATATTCGAAGAAAAAACTAAGAAATCGTATCAATCTTAACTAATAACTATATAAGGAATTATATCTAGGTTGAGAAATGAAAAACAGAATAGAGCGATTTATTTTTAAAAAAACAACCAATTCAATAGATCGATTATAGAACAAATTGCAAAAAAATATTTTTTTCAAATCAGTCTTGTCGTTAAGTATGCCCTATTGTTGCTTAGTAGATCGAACTCTATTCTATTCTCATGAAATGATTTGATTGGTTTTCCTCTATTACCAATGTATATATTTATCTCAGCTGAGTAAAATTTCTTTTTTTCTTGTTGTTTTCTTGACAGACACGAATTATTAACACTCATATATATTCACGTTCTTGTCAGATAAATCTTCTCAAATATCAAAATTAAACAATGCCAATCCCAATCGAACGAATTCAAGCAGTTGAAAATGAAATGGAACGAGAACGTCACTCGAAACATAAAAGTGATAATGATGATGATGATAGTAATTATCGTTATACAACAACCATGACTCCACCAAATCAAGATTTTTCATTTTTAAAAAAACCTCCACAACCAAAACGTTCTGTTCATTATGATATTGAACCTATTGAAGATTTTGAAAATCGACCATTAAAAACACGTCATGATAATGAACAACAATTTGATAATGTTTTACGTCGACGATATATTGCACATTGGGGTTTGCCAGGTTCGTTAATAGATAAATCTCAAGTTTTATACAAAAGGTTAGATATATTAAAATAATATTAAAATAGCATATTATATAAATGTCATGATCTTTCCTATTATTTATTTATACTTAATAACAAAAGTTTTTTACACATCAGTTATCTGTTTACAAAATATGTTTTTTCAAGAACAAACTTGACGTCATTTAAATATAAACACATATAATTTCTTTTTCTTTAATTAGAATGGCTTGGTGATAATCATTTTCTATTACAAAAACATCGTCCACCAGCTAATTCTGTTCGAGAATGTCTTATATCAATAGCATCAATACATAGTGAAACAGTCAATATTTGGACACATTTAATTGGTGCATTATGTGTTGCTGTTACATATACACTTTTTCTTATTGATAATCATCGACAAATGGATTTAAGTGATTATATAGCATTTAGTATGTTTTTTTTATCAGCAATATGTTGTTTAACATTTTCAACTTTACTTCATGTATTTATTAATTATTCGCCACGTATTATGGTTATTGTTTCCAAACTTGATTATATGGGTAAGAAAAATAAGAGATTTAATGGATATATTAGATGAAGAAGTAGAAATATAAGTACAATTGAGTTTGTTGTTAAATATAAAAGAAAGAAAGAAGGAAGTTCTTGAGTAGAATAATGGAATTTTTCTGTTGCATATTATTATAAATAGAGAGAAAAGAAGTGAAAATAAATTCTACATTCTAATCACATTTTTCTATGTCCTTCAATTCGCTAACTAGAAACACTTAACAGCTGTTTTCCATTAATTTCGTTATTATTGAATATTATCTAGAGAGATCGACAATTACTGTTTCTGTCACTCTTATTTCTATCATACTGGTTTATATGTAATTTACATCTATAATGAATCTTTCTAGAAATTGACTATTAACCCGTAGTTAAAAATCAATTAAATAATCTATAATCTATAAATATCTATTTAGGTATTAATATTTTAATATTTGGTTCAATGATTCCAGTTATTCATTATTTCTTTTATTGTCATATTAAACTTAAAGCTATATATATTAGTATTTTAATTGTACTTTCTATTTCATCAATAATTGGTACAAGTAGTGCTGCATGTTCAAAACCAAAATGTCGTCCATTTAAAGCTATTTTATTTATTGTTCTAGGTCTTTATGGTATATAAAACCATTAATTCTTTCTTCTTTTTTAATAAAATCTCTTTTTTTTTAATTCTAATTAAGGAGTTGCACCAGCAGCTCATGCATGCATTCTTCATGGTTTTCCACGTATGTTTCAAATGGGATTTTTATATTTAGTTATTATGGCTGTTACATATATTGCTGGTGGTGTTGCCTATGCAGTTCGTGTACCTGAACGATTTTTTCCTGGTAAATAATTTTTTTGGTTTTAATTTAAATTAATTATATAATTGTTAGGTCGTTTTGATATTGTCGGACAAAGTCATCAAATATTACATGTTGCAGTCGTAGCAGCTGTTTACTTGCACTTTTATGGCATTTGTACTTTATTTCATAATGTTATTCAGACAGAACAATGTCTTATGCCAATAACATTAAAACTTGGTGTAACTGATTTATCTATTGCATCAGCTTCCTCTGTTGAATCATAGAAGTTTATTTATGTATAGAAATAAAAATGGCTATAAATTTATCAATGTTTAGTGATTTCTATTCTAATAAATAGTTTCTGTGTCTTTCAATTTCCTTTTTTTTTGTTTTATTTTTTATCGTCCATGTCTCAATAATATTGTTTTGTTTTTAAATATGTATAACTAACTATGTTAAATTTTAATAAGATCATCATTTAATAAATTATCACCAACGACAGCCATATATGGTTTTACTGTATATTTTGTAACAATACCATTGATAACATAAGGATCTTGTTTTGCAAATTGTTCGATTTCATTTGATGTTAAATTACGAAAAATAATTAATGCACTTGTTGGTGGACTACCGACAGCACCACCTAACAGAACATTTCCATTCTCAACTTGTTTACCAATAAAAGATAAATGAGCTTCACGATGTGGTTTACGTTTTTCAACTACATCACATACATAATCATATTGTAAAACATGAAGTTTAGGTGTAATTGTTCCAGCTGATGATGTTGATGCCATTCTCAATCTACAGAAGTAATTTTTACCAACAATATGTCGAGTAAATAAAGATGTCCACATGTTTTCTACAATGGCAAATGTCTTTTTTTTTCCTGTTGAAAATTAAAAAAAAAAAGAAAAACAAGTAACATTTTAATCTCACAGTTTCACATCTGTCTTTTTCTTTTTAAGCATACACATTTATACACAAATGAACATAAAAAGAATAGGACGACATGTACATAGATTACTTTTATGAAACAAAAAAAAAGAATAAACAAACAACTTTGATGATACAATTGAAACACATGATGATTATAACCAGATCAACAAAACAAGAAAATCAAAAGTTAACTTTTCAACAAAAACTAAAAACAAAAACAAAAAGTTTTATTCATATTATATCTATTGCTTATGTCATCCATAAATGAGATTCATTTATTATAAATATATATGATTATATTTTAAAAAACCTTATGTTTTTATTAATACTCCAGGTGCACGTTCAATACGATTATTATTAAAACCTTTTGATTTTTCATCAGCATTTCGTGGTTGTCGAACAATAACTAATTTCTGACCTTTATTTTCATCGATATTAACTGTCTTAAGTTTTGTTATCAATCGATCAGGTCGTTGAAGATTACTAAAACAAAAAATTCATAAAATAAATATGATTCACTAATAATAATGATAAATTTACTTAGTTCGACGTAATTTACTTGCACATGGTTTACCAGTTTTTTGATTATATTGTGCATAGAATTCGACCTCATCACCGGCACGTAATTCAAATCCACCATCAACTTCAGAATTATGAAAAAATATTTTCTTATTTTCTTCACATGCAAAATCAATAAAACCAAACTAGAACAATATTTGTTTTTGAATTTAATTAAAATTTTATATATTCTTTACTTGTCCTTTAACTGTATCAATTTTTCCTTTACGCATTTCATTTTCTAAAATAATATTTACGGCACGTTTGGAATAATCACGACCAACAGCAATAGAAAATGTTACCAAATCATTTGGTAATAAAATCATTCGTTTATTTTTAACACCTGTGATACTATAAGTATAAAATTCACCAGGTGTACCATCATCTGTTAATTTTTGAATTCGTCCAAGTATTTCACATTCATCAGTATTCGTTAATCTTATTGGTGATAAAACACGGCCACGATAAGTTGTTGGAAGTATTGACTAATTAGAAAATAGTTTTATATATTAGGATACGTAATTATATATACTTACATAGAAACTATTAATAGTTGATGTTACTTTAAGAATATTTTCAGCTATTAAACGATTCGAAACTTGTCTTATACTAAACTCAACTTCATCACCTAAATCGATTTGTGTACCATCACCAGGAAATGAATTAATGGTAAAAACAATTGGTTCTATATTATTCGTTGTATTATATTCTTCAATAAATCCTTTTCCTTCACGTATAATTGCAATCCAACCATGAACACGATTTCGTTCGATTAATGTTACATTTGTGGCGAATTTACTACCAGATATCAAACCAAATTCAACCTAAAAATTAAAATAAATATCTCGTATACTGAACGTCTCAGGACTCTGGCTATTGTGATCGTCTTTTCTTTAAATTCAGAAAGGAGTATCTTAGTTATAGTTTATTATATCAACTCTTGTTCAGTATTATAAAAGAGATTAACGATGTGTTTACAACAGGAAATGCATCATCAATAACAAATGACATCAACATAATATAAAAGAACATATGTTCACCGTAGTCATAAATCAATATTATGCCTCATTTATCATATTGACTTGATATACACCAGAACCGAATTTTTTTTTTTTCTTTATGTTAAATATTTTTAAGTAAATTTCTTTAATTCTTACTTTATCACCACAATATAATGCTGATGTATTACTAATATTTGTTGATAAAAATTGAATTGAAGCTTTAGTTTCATTCCATACATATCGAATAATACCTGATTCTTGTTGTCGACTTATCGGAATAGATATAGAATCATTACCATTTAATTGTTGTGATTTATTTTCCGAATTTAACTGTCCTTCTTGAGGATCTCGTTCGACGATGCCAGTTAATCGTAATTCATGACCATTCACCATCGATAATAAATTATCTTTAGATAATAATTTTATTCGAATAGCATGCGGTAAATCCTAATTAATGAAAAAATAAATTAATTCTTACAAATAGAATTTCGAATTTAACGAACCACATTATCTGGATTAATAGCTAATGAAAATTCTAATGGATCACCTTCACATATTTGAAACTTATCTTTCATTACTTCACTAAATCGAAATAAAACTATTTGATCCGATGATAAACATTTAATCTGACCACCACCTGTTGTACTATCTAATTTTACAACAATACCCTTAAATAACAAAAAATTAATCATATGATAAGAAGAAGAAGAAAAACAAAGGAAATATGTTACCATTTCTCGATGTTCCTTTGATTTAAGAAAACTTTGATCAAGTAAAGATATTTGCGTAGCACGTATCATACCATCACGTTTATCTTTAGCAATAACAAATTGAACGATATCATTTTCAAGCAGAGTATATAAACCACAACGATCTCGTTCACCAAATGGTAATTCAGTCATTTTTCTATGAAATTATAATCAATTTATTTAACATATATTTGAAAGAATTTACTTGTCTAATGTATCATAAATCAGACGACCAATTAATGTATCACCTGTTTTTTTTGTTTTCAATTGTAATGTTTGTAGTACTCGACCAATATAAGGAGTTTTATCAATATCATCAAATTGGACAGTACCTTTTGCTAATATTACAATATTACTAGCCACATCTTTATTCTATATTTATAAAATAAAAATTAATTAGCTTTTTTACAAAATATCACGATAAGTAATTCAAACATGAATGGAATTTCTAATTGTCTATTAATAGACTCAATCATAAAGAATTTGAATTTTTGACATATATGTAAGAATACTATTTATAACAAGTACGATTTTCTGATAAGTAAGAAACGTAATTGCTCCATTGAAAATAGTTTCTAATTAAATATAAAATTATCTTTTTTCCTTGCTTACATGTCTATTTTGAATATCAAATTCGACTTCAACACCAAGTTGAATTGTATTCGTTGCTACATTAGGACCAAATTCAGTAATATGAAAAAATATTTCTTTAAGTGCATCTTCTCTTTCAATAAAACCAAAACTATCTTTCATTGTTGATATAACACCACGATAACGTTTTAGAGGTAATACTACTGGAGGAAGATTTTTTTCAGTAATAACAATATTTCTTGCAAAAAATTGATTTGTACGACGATCTTGACTAACATTAAAAGTGACCTTTTATAATTATACAAAATAAAATTTAGTTTTTTAATTTAGGAAAATAATTTCTAAACTAACTTGATCTCCAACTTTAACTGGTATATTTGAATCTTGAAGATCTGCCATAGCATATGGTAAAAAATAAGTTTCACCTTTTTTCACATAAGTTACTTTGCCATCGGGTAGAAAATTCAACGGATCAAACTAAAAAACTCTAATTTTTATATAGAAATTCTCAAAAACTAAAAATCTCACATTTACGCCATTAGGTTTTTGTTGTCGAGCAACTACTGCAATTGTACCTTCAACACGATTTTCACCCATAATTTCCGGACTAGCAGGTATGATATTTACTGCAACTGGTTTTTGTTTTCGTTTATCAATTGTTGTTTCAAATTCAACAACATCTATAATTGAAAAGGTTTTAAATTTTAAATCATAAAATTTCATATTTCGTTCACCTCCTATTTTAGCTTGTTGAATATCATTTTTATATTCACTAAAGTGAAAAAAATAACGACCATCACGATGACAACAATAAACGAAACCATAAGTTGAACAAAGTTTTTCAATAATACCCAATTCACGTTGAGATTTATTTTCATCCATAGTATCAATATTGCTCAATTGTGTTGTAAATAATTTGCTTGAATCTAAATAATAGATAAAGTTTCTTAAAAAGCTTCGCAATTTTTTTTTTCTAATATTTACTGTTTTGATGATAAAGTTCAGTTGGTAAAGATGTCATCGAATATTTAATTATACAGAAAAAAAAGATGAAAGACAGAAGAACTGTGAGAGAAAAAGAACGCTACGATGGTACAATATCTAAATGATTGAAATAGATTATATAAATATTTGATTTTTGATATATCATTTCAAATAAATAAACATTTATATAGCAGAGGTCGCAAATTTCGAAAAATATAAAATAGTTTAAGAAAATAATTTCTTCATTATAAACAATTTAATAGTAATAGATATTGCAAAAGAAATCTATATTCATATATCATTAGTAATAGTTTAAATGCGAAGAATATAGAAGACGATGGAAATTAGGTATGTAGTAAAACATCAGCTGTTACTCATTTCTATAAAAATCTATTGGTTGATTATAATTGACAAATCAGAATAGTTCGCTTTGGCTGCTGCTGTTTAATATTTTTTCAAAAGATTCTTATTTCAATAGAATGTTCTTCGATATACATCAACGTTAATTATTCAATTAAAAGAATATATACATATGACAATGTGTATATTGAAAAATGTATGACAAAAAGAAAGAACTTTATTTAAATGAAATTTCTTGATTTTCATGTGTATATAAATCAATCAGTATGAGGAAACCTTATTGAAATATTTCTTTTTTTTTATCTAACAATAAAAGAAAACATTGTCTGTAATTAATTGTGACTTTTATAACGATGTCTAGAGTGATAGTTCGTTCGTTTGTTTGTTTCCGACAGATGGAATCGAATTAACAAATAAATGGATATAGAAAGATAAAAAGAGCGCGACATTTCAATAGAATACATGTTTGTAAATAAATTACGTTTCTTGCTCTAATGTACAAAGCATGTGTATCACTTGAAACAATCTTAATAGAAGATATAAAAAGGTAACGAATCATCAGATCAAAACAAAATAAAAAAAGGAAAGAAACTATCCTTGATATATATATATATTCTATGAATAATTATTTTTTTTCTTTATTTTGAAACTTGTAAACAGAATAATCATTAGAATCTCTAGAGGAAATCATATTTCTATACATGATTACATCGAATTCCTTATGCGCTGTTGATTTTTCTCAAGTATATAACTTATGACAAATGAAACAAGATTTTTACTAGAATGTAAAACTAAATAATTTCCTGAGAATAAGAATTATAATATTCAAATTGGCAGCACGTGGTTTATAATCCATATCATATTATCGTCTTTATCTCACCTATATCTACCTATCATCTCACGTTGAATATGTTAATATTAATTTACTTCTTATCAATTTAAGCTGTTGTATACTATATAATCGGTTACGGACGAGTATGAAATTTTTCTATATACATTGTTGACGACACATATCATTGATAAACAGGCAAGGCTAACAATTTAACGGACTGTAATCGATGAGCAGCAACATCTAATAAATAGATTACTCTCTCTCTCTTCTTTCAATAATGTACCAGCTGGATATATTCATTATACGAACATATATATATATTCTCTCTAACGTTTAGAATTAGAACATAATCAATAATGGTTCGTCTTGCACCACCACCTACTTTTACTTTACCACCTCCACCAATGTTTCCATCAGATATTTTGGATATGAAATTAGTATTTCGATTTAGTTGTTCGTCCATTCGACAGCAACAACATCAACATCAACAAATTATTAATTCTCGCTCGATTATGTTCAGTTGTATTACTTTTCTTATTATTATTCTTCTATTTGCTCTCTTATTTCTCATAAGCAAATTTTATCGTAAACCAAAATCTTCAACTATAAATTATAAATCGAAATCATTATCACAACCACTACCACCATCACTATCCAATATGAAATCAACAAATTTATCAATGAATACTAGTCGTTCATATGAAACAATATCATCTATAGATACTGGTCTTTATGTTAATTCTATTGATACATCTGCAACAACTTATTCAACAGATCCAAGTAATGTTATATATCTTCATTGTTCTCAAGGACATGACTATTCAACTATTTCTCCACCGCCTCCATATTATCATACACTTAATATTCCTTCTTAATATTTAATAAAATGATTTTAACAGTGATTATTATTATTGTTTGTTTTTTGATATTTACAAAAATAAAGAATTTTTTTCAATGTGAATCATCATATTTTCGAAAGTTCTAGTACCTACAAAATAGTTGTATGTCATGTCATAACATCAGATAAAACGAAGGTCGTATCAATACGTAAATCACATGATTTGTTTAAGGTTAATCCTATTTGAATGTATATCAATCGAGAAAAAAAAACTATAAGATTAATTGATTTACAAATGAGTTTATCATAGAATATAATGAAAATAAATGTGAATATCATGATTGACATTTAGACTAGCCATCTGTTTTTAAAGTTAAATATATAAATATACAAATGTATTAAGTTTTTCGATCTTTGGATTTCATACATTCTCGATTTTTACACTGACATTTCTTTATCTAGACAAGTGTTGATTCAATGGCATACATAAATGATACTTTGATCTCTTTATCTTTTTCATAATGATTAGTCATTAATAATAATGAGTATTCTAATACCTTTGCTAAATTATATGATAATGATCATTTTTGTCATTTCTTTTTTTAGCTTATTTAATCTAAACAAGGTTTTACTATTTTAGTCAGATCATTGTTATTAGTTCTGTTTCATTGATAAGAATTAATAAATTCAAGACACGTTCTAATAAATAACAAGCATTCTTTTCTTATTCAACTATTCTGAATAATCCACTAATAAGAATATATCATGATGTATACACATCGCCATTTTTTTCTTTTTGCAGTTATTAATCATTCTAGTACAATATTTACACAATAAGTTAAAATATTTTTATTCTTAAACATAATTATCACGTATAACTAAAAGATGGCTTTTATTTTTTTTAAAAAGTTCTAATTTATGGTTATATTAACTTGCGTTAGAAAATTTTCCGTCTATAAATATCAGCATAATAATTACATATTAATTGCCGTGGAAAAAGAAATGTTATAAATGAGGTTCTTAAAAGATTAGTTTCATATTTTTCATAAAAAATCGATCATTTTTAGTAACAATGATTTAATAATAAGACTGGCAAAATATAAAAGAAAAGTATTTTCGGATTAGATTCTTTATACATATGAAACAACTAATCGATTCAATGAATATAATTTATTTACAAGTCGACTAGTTTCTCGAAAAATAAAACTAGTAAGTCTATGATTAATTATGTAAAAAATAATCGTTAAACTATTGTTTATTATATATCAACAGATTTTGAAGCTTTGCCGATCAACAAATGTATTTTTTGTCTGGTTTGTCTCCAGTTGAAATTATCGATATTTATCATAGTAATGCTTTGACATTTCCCCTAATCTATCTTAGTCTCGTTTTTTTAATAGACACAAACAAAGTATGTATTCTATTTATTTTTCGAATATCTTTGATAGGATAAAATTCTTGTAAAAAAAACTTTCATCAATTAATGTTTTTTTGATCGAGAAAATAATTGATTTAGAAAATGTTATTTTGCTCTTTAGTTTTTTCATTGGAACAAAAAAAAAAGCAAACGGAAAAAACAACGATATGAATAATTAAATTATCTTATTTGATTGAATAAAAGTCCTTATTAGCCATTCATCATTTTAAATTGATATTTTATCATAAAATAGAACAAATTTTGGCTTGAAATTTAGATTATTATATTAAATAAAATACTTCGTAATTCTATTAAGTATAAAATTTTTTTATATATATATTTTCTCTTCTCTTTTTATAAATAAATGTGGCAAAATTACTGGCATTCAACATACATTTCAAAGAACATTCATCTTTCAATGATATGTTCTTTTTTTTTCTGCTTATTTAAAGACATCATTCGTAATATTACATATTGAACTGATATAAAGAAAGAAAGAAAAAAGAAAAAGAAAGAGGTATTCATATTAACACACAAATATACTGTTCAAAAATAAGAATCTTTATAAGAATAGGGTATTGATGTGCATTTTTTGTTTAATCGACGAGAATACTATCTAGCTTGGTAGCAACTCGTAATAATTGAAGAAGAGAGGATAAGCAATTTTGGCAGCAGCATGGAAGAGAAGTGTAAAGGGCTTCACACAGTGCAAGAAAATGATCGTAAATATTTCTTTTCTTGTTTTTGTTGTTGTTAACTTAAATCGAGTTTAAATATACAATGATTCTTTTGTTGTTCATTCTCATTTGTATTAATTGATGATAATTGTAATGCATCAATTAATTGTTTACCAAAATATATTTCATTCGTTTCATTTGAATATATTGATGAAGATTTTCTTTTACTTTTAAGTAATGTTATATGTGGAATAAATTCTTGATAATTTCCAGCAAAAAATATTTCATTCATTTTCTGTTTTTGTTGTTGTTCACAAAGACGTTCAATAATTAATGTACGTAGATTTTCTAAACGTGTATTTTGTTGACATTTTATGAATAATGTTTTATTATGAAATGTATCAATACCATTAAATTCTAAATAGATACGTTCAGGATATGAACAATGATAATGTATTTCTTCTTGAATACGTTTTAACGCTAGAATACATTGTTCAATTTGTAAGGATGATTCAAGACGTAATGTCAATAGAGTTAAATAAAGATAATGAGGATCAATCGATAAAATATGTGAAGATGATGAAGAAAGTGAAGGATATAATGAAAGAAGATGTTCGCGATATGTAATATAATGAGATATAAGTGATGGATCGGTTATTGGTATTGATAATAGATAATTTGGTTTATATAAACTATCAGTTAAAGTTAGATAGCGTTTTGTTGATAGAATTGGATCAATATCCATAGGTTTTTCATCTTGAGAATTTCTAATAACGAAAAAAATAAATATTTGTCTTTTTTTATATTTTTTTCAAATAAATATATTACTTTGTTTCAATGAGATTTTCATGTCGTTTAATAAGATCATTGATTGTTTGTTGATTACTAGTTGAACCAAATATTAAATCAATTTTAGATTCTTTATCCCATATAATTTCATTATTATATTTAAAATATTGTATGCGATATTTCGATGGAGAAAGTAGATTTGTATTTCGATCGTTAATTGTTAATAAATCAAAATCATTAAATGGTTTCTCTTGTAAACCATGACAATGATCAATATAACCAACTCGAATATAACGTTTATCAAGACGATTATCGCATTCAATACGTGATAGAACATCTTCAGCTGTTTTCATTGAACATTTTTTTATATGTTCATGTTCATGTTCATCTGTCTGAAGAGTTTTATTATGATTGGTAGTAGATACAAATGGTGAAACAAATTTACCATTTGTTGGTGAGCGTGGAATAGGAGAAACAGATGCATTATTATTAATGGTATTATTATTATTATTATTATTATTATTATTATTACTGCTATTATTATTATTATTATTCGTATTAACAGTTAATGTTTGAATATTATTTTCATCAAACCATTTGAGAAGACGAGAATAAATAGATAAAATCATTGCTTGATTAAGTAACGTCTCACTATAGGATTGAAGTAATTGTTGTACGAGTAAAATTTGATCAGGTGTAAGACGAGGTGCTGTAATCATTATTTCAGGTGCTTTTGTTGGATAAGATTCTTTTATTAAAAATCAAGAAATTACGAAATAAAAAATCTAATCCTATGCTTACTATCTAATTGTAATGTTAATGAAACATCATACTGATCAGCTCGAATTTTTAATATATAGGAAAATTGTCCAATTGATGATAGAATACGAATATTATCTTTAAAATAATCACGTAACGAGTTTATTTCTTCTTCTTGTCCAACACTTATTGATGTATTTTCGGTCGTAGTGGCCATACAATTGTTAATTCTAGGGTTAAATGCTTTATGCTTAGAAAAAAATACGTTGCCTTTGTTGTTGTCTTGGATAAATATGTACTCACCTGGAGTATGAAAAAAAAATACAGCAAATAGATGGATTACATTGGTGACGTTGACATACTACTATCGTCTATCTTAAGTTACTCACTCATACACCGACCTTTACAGGCTACTTGCCTGAATGAATGAATCAATAGGAGACGACTGGCAATAGATTATCACATCATCATCATCATCAATATTTTTTAATAAATAAATAAATATAATTGGTTAAAATCTTTTAACCAATCGAATAATTGTAAAATATTGTAGTATTAGTTGTAGTAAATTTTGACTCATGTAAATATAATATACGCAAAATGGATTCTATATAAGAAAGAAACTTGGATCGAATAACCAATAGAAATTATCATGAAACCTTTATGATGATGTTTTTCTTCTAGAAAAATCATGTGCTGAAGTGTGTTAAAATATGCTTTTTCATCATGGTGGTGGAAAATAGAGTCGTAAATTCTTGAACAGTCAAGATGACGGTGCACATTTTATGTTATTTATTTATTTGTATTTCATATATAAGGCGTTTTTTCGTATACATATTGATAAACTAAATTAATATTCATTGTGAATTTTTTAAGATAAATTAGAATAAGAATACAATGGGTCGACGACCTGCTCGATGCTATCGTTATTGCAAGAACAAGCCATATGTAAGTTATTTTTATTAGATGAAAATGAAAAATTAAAAGAATTTATTTATTTATTTTATAGCCAAAATCTCGTTTTTGCCGTGGTGTTCCTGATCCTAAAATTCGTATTTTTGACTTAGGTCGAAAAAGAGCACGTGTTGACGAATTTCCATTATGTGTTCATCTTGTATCAGATGAATATGAACAATTATCCAGTGAAGCACTTGAAGCTGGACGTATCTGTGCCAACAAATACTTAGTTAAACACTGTGGCAAAGATGCTTTTCATATACGTATGCGTGTTCATCCATTTCACGTTATTCGTATCAACAAAATGTTATCATGCGCAGGTGCCGATCGTTTACAAACAGGTATGCGTGGTGCATTCGGTAAACCATTAGGTACAGTTGCTCGTGTTAACATCGGTCAAGTTATTATGTCAGCTCGTGTTAAAGATCAACATAAAGCACAAACTGTCGAAGCTTTACGTCGTGCTAAATTCAAATTTCCTGGTCGTCAAAAAATCTTCGTTTCAGATAAATGGGGTTTCACCAAATTTACTCGCGAAGATTATGATCGTTTATTTCAACTCGGTCAATTACAATATGATGGTGCCAATGTTAAGTATTTACCTAACCATGGTCCACTTGCCGCCTGGAAAAAACGACAACATGTTTAAATGATTTGTTAACAATTCTTGTTGCTTGTTCTTCTGCAATTAACAACAGCAAAAAAGTTTTATGAAATGAACATCATTTTTTGTTTAAGAAAAAAAAAAGAAGAATAAAATATAAACCGAAGTTTATTTTATATTTCAATGTCTATGATTTTTTTAAAAGAAACACATTTGATAAATGCAGAATGATAGAATCTCAAGTCCAGTCATTTTCATAAAGAATATAAGAAGATTTTTGTCATTTAGAAACATTAATATCGGCAATTCTCTCTAAAATATCAACATATATCATGATCATTCTATCTTATTGAGCAGAGATTATAACAAGCAAGTTTTAATAGAGAAAAAAAAAGTATGTTTTAATGTAAAGCTCGAAATGAATTTTTTAGATCTCATAATTTTTGGTCATCATTAAGATATAGGGTGTATAACGATAAAATTATAGAAGCTATATTCTTGAAAATGATCTCAACGAATGACAATATGAAAATATATTTTGCTGCATTTCATTTAAAGCAATTAGTTTTCTTAATAGAGCAGAATTACAGGATTGACCAAAATGATTGAAATCAAATTTATCGGTCATCATAATTATATAAAAAAACCTTAAAATGATTTGAACTTAGAAATCTTCAAGATTAGAATTCAAGTTTTATTCTTATATATTGATGTTCATAGTCTACATCTACGTGTTCGATTGTTGTAAGAAGAAAACTTTCTAAGAAAGTAGTACCAAATACTGTAGAGGCTAATATTTATTTTCAGTGTTATTCATAAAAAAATTCATTTCATTTTTACACGATAGATCACTTGCAAATATATTTTGTTGAATAAAAACATAAGTTGAAACAGCCGATATATATGCTATTTTTAAATCGTTAATATTCTTTTTTAATATTATTAATATCAATCAACTTTCTCCGTCTTTATATATATTTGACTTGCTCCATTTATAAATTTAATTTTTATGAATTTAGTATGAAGCAATGATTTTCTATAATGTTTGACAAGAATTTATTGCATGCAATAAAAAAAAAAAGGTTAATATTTTCATGATTAAATTTATGAGAATGTTGTACATAATGAAAGACAAATAAGAAAATAGACGAAAAATTAATTTTGATTAAAAAAATAGAATAAAATTGGAATGTAGAAGTAAAAAAAATAAATGATAATGTCAGTCTACCAAGGTACACAAGGTGCATCTTCATCACGACAATATTGCCAATAGGATTCCAATCTACCAGTTGCTGGTTCCATTAATGCTGTATATACAGTTAACTAAAATAAAACAATAATTAAGTAAAATTATTGAAAAAAATAGTTTACTTTATTGAGCATTGGTCGTGAAGAAAAAACATTAAATAATGATTCAAATGTAACTTGATTTTGTCCTTTTGTTTTCATACATTTAATACATGGTGTTACACGATCATCATAAAATGGTGGTTTTTTCCAATTATCATAATTTGTTTCAACTAAAAACCATAAGTTATCTTTACCCAATGGTTTTATATCATCTGATCCATTACGTGAACGTGTTACAATAACACCCTAGAATAAAATATATGGATCATCTCGAAATTTTCTATGAGAAAATTTGGTTTTGCTTACATCTCCTGGTTTTGGTCCGGCAAGAATATAATAACATGGAGCTGTAAGTTTAACTTCAGCTAAATATTTCACTGCTTGATCATAAGTTTCTGATGTTGTTAACATATCACGCATAGCGAATGTAACAAATGATTGTTTACGATTAATATTAAAGATCCATTCGATTAAACCAATATAACCACCTTTAAGACCATAACGTTCATTCATTGAAATACTAAAAACACCGGGTCGCATGCCTGTTATTACACCAATATAACTAGAAAAGAAATTCTATTTGATTAAACATAGAACAAAACAAAAAAAAATATTACCCAGCAAAGCTAGTTGTTTTAAAAATAACTTGACCATTTTGTGTAAAATTTACTTGAGTAATCAATGGACGTAATTTTTCTGATAATGTCCATGTATTATTTAACATATCCCAACTAGAATATATATAAATATATTATTATTTTAAATAAATGATCTTTCATTTCATATACCCTAAGAATAGTCCAAAATCAAGATTTCGTCCATGAATAACATTACCATTTTTATCTTGTGCAACAATTGATGTACACATTGTAAAAATTTCATAGAAGATATTATACAAAACAATTTCACCTTAACAAAAAAAAAGTATTTATTTTCATCTGTATACTATTAATAAAGCTATTTCCACTTACCCAATGGTACACCAGTTGCTTGACTAATACCTTTCATTTCATCACCATACGGTGCTGGTAATGTATCAGCCATAGCAGGCTATTAAATATCGAATTAAAAAAAACAATCATGAAAAAGTTTTAAAAGACAAATATAGAATTTACCAGTTTAGTATCAACAAGACTAATTAAAAATTGTAATTCTGGTGAAATTTCAACAACGAATTTCTTAATATAATCAACTAAATCAATAATCTAATAATAAAATATATATAAGAATTGAAATAGAAGTTAAAATTTATTATACTTCTGATTTATATATAGTTGAAATTTCTTTCCAGCGTTCAGTAGCTGGTAAATCTAAATTAACCACATGTGTTGGTACAACACGATCTGCTTTTGGTGGCCATTGATCATTTAAACATTGTTCACCAAACTTAACAAAAAAAACAACAAATCAATCAATCAAATTTTCTTTTCTTTTTATAAATACATACAATTCCTTGACTTGAAATAATAACAAACAAAAATAGAAATATACGAAGTATTGCCATCTGAAGACAAAAAAAAAAGAAATCGTTTTTTGAAAACTTTTAAATTAATATTAATAGATAAGATAAGATAAGTACAAAAGAAAACTAGATTTAAAAAAAAGTATATTACTAGGTCAAAATAAAAAAAAAGAGAACAGTATTCTCAAGATAATACATTTAAACGAGGAATATTTGTCGATGATAAATTTTCATTCTCATTTGTATCTAATAATCCACTTGTTTGTTCAATTTGTTTGTATTCTTCAATTAATTGATTAAGATTTTCCCTTGCTTGTTCAAAATCATTTAATTCAATATGATCTGTATAATGATGTACATGTGCTTTACGACGATAGAGTGTTGTAAAACGTTCTTTTAATTCAACAAACGTTTCTTTTATACACGTATGATTAGCTAATGTTAATAATGAATATGGTAAACCATTTGGTGGTACTGTACATAAACCAATTTTCCATCCATCTTCATTCCATTTAACAAATTTCATATGTTTTAATTTAAGTAAATCAATATTACGACGTATATCAGACATTTGAATTGTTTTACTACGTATAATCATACCACAAGCAATATAAACACCATTTATATTTGGTTGAACACGTAATGTTTGAAAATGTGGTGAAAGTGCATCACGAAATATTTGATTTATATTTCGTGGTATGGAAGAATTTGTTGTTATTTTAAATGGTGCTGGGACTTGTGAACTAATTAAATAATGCATACGTGGATAAGGTACGAGATTCATTGGAATTTCACTTAAATCAACATTTAATGGACCATCAAAACGTGATGATGATGTTAAATTTAATATTAAATTAGCTACAATTGTATTCATAGAATCAAATGGACGACGACCATCATCTTTTATTTTTGTTGAACTATCACAACGTGATACAATATCTATAAGTGAATCATTATCAACAGGTATAACACAATCAGCATGTTCAGTTAATTCACGTGTAGCAAGAACAGAATTATAAGGTGATGTTATAACATCATCATCTTTTGATGGATAAACTGGTGTTACAATACGACATACTTTTGGATATATTTCATCTAATAATGATAAAATAAATGTACCAAGACCACTACCTGTACCACCACCCTAGAAATAAAAATAGAAAATATTATAGATTGGCACGTGTTTCTTTTTTTTGTTTTGTTTTGTTAAATAATTTAGTTACATACACTCACCCTATTAGCTCACCATGGAATGTATAAGCATAAAACTTTGTAATGAATCACATTGTTCAGCTTGTCGACGAATTTCTTCACTTAAAATATCTCGATATTTTGCTCCATAAAAACGATTACCAACTGCCCAATTATTTCCCGCTCCACTAACATCACGAATAAATTGTTCACCATCAAATAAATCTCTTAATGGACTAGCAAGTATTGAACGAAGTACACCTTCTTCCATATCAACAAGTACAGCTCGTGCTTTAAGTGTATGTATTGGAGATGGATATGATAGAGAAGTATTTTTTGAATCAACATTACGAAAAAATGCACTTAATGATGCATCATAAATACATTTTTTTGAATTTGTAGTTGACATAAGTGAAGCATGTTCACGTAAAGCTAAATCCCAAAATCGACAACCAATTTGTGAACCACATTGACCAACTTGTACAACAATATTTTGTGCCATTTTTACATATATATACAAATAATTATTCAAATCATTCTCTTGTTTTTTTTAGATCTAAAATATAAATCAAATTTGAGCTTGTATAGAAATAAACAACGCTCTATTATCGTTCGTTCATATTTTAACTAACACAAATACTCGGGTTACTTATCGTTAAACATCCATAGCACAGACAAAAAGAAAAACATACAGTTCAAAAATATTTTCATCTTTTTTGTTTTGTTCGAAACAAAAAATTATATACAAACATCTTTACGTATTAGTATTAGTAGATGTGCTCATAGTTACAGGTGAAACTACAGGATTCTTTTTTAATTTTATATTTGGTTGTTGTCGTTGTAACATTTCAGCAACAGCATGTTGAAAAACTGATTGATTGAGTAAAAATGCACTGATATGTCCATAAGGAATAAAACGAACAAGACATCCAGGCCAAACATCATTCATATCAGGTATACCATTACGTAATATATATCCATCATTTGTACAAACAATAAACATAGCATTAGGAATATTCGATTCAACAGGACGTGAATATTTCTCTAACGATGTAAATTCATCCATAATAAGACGCATCATATCTTTAACAGGATCGACAACAACTAAATTTGATGGATTCGTTGATTTATTTCCTTCACGTAAGTATTCATAAAATGTTTGGTATGCTTTATTTTCATAGAATTGTTGTTTTAATAAAGCCCATGGAATAGTACGTGAAAGTACACCATCACACCAAGCTGTTGAACTTGTTGACCATGAAGCACATGATAAGAGGGAAAGTGGACCAGGCCAACTATAATAATTATCAAAAAATTTTCTTTTTATTAAAAACATAATAAATTCTTTTTTTTCTTACTTCGTAAATGCTAACGAAGCCATATGTCCACCAAGGGAAAATCCATGTAGAACAGCTGGTGTTAATTTCATTTTTTGACACCAATGAAGTAATGCAATAGTTTCTAACATAAGTGCACCACCCATGACTAATAAATCCGTTACATAAGATAAAGATGAACGATTTTGTTGTTGTGGTTTTCTTAAACCATAATACGGATTTTCAAGAATAATTGAACCAATACGATACTGTTTTATAAGTGGATTTGCTGTAAGAAGTTGTCGTCGACTATAACCTTGATCACCTGTTCCTGGATAACAAATTCCTATTGGAATTGAATCAATGCCGAGACGATGATCACGAGGCAAAACAAGTTGAAAATGTGCCGTAGCTACTTCCGGTGGAATCTATTTAATCGTTCGAAAAGGAAATCTCCTTAATCAAAGAACTAAATCGACTTCTTACCAAATGTGGATGATGAATAGCAAGTGGTGAACGAAATTTCGCATTTATATAGTGCCGATCACCTTTTGTTTCTTGTTTGGTAATTTCAATAGTATCTTCTTGAATACTTTCAGGTGGTACAAGTTTTAAACATTCACTTCTTACGGCAACTTTCTCACGTCGATTAGCACAAAGTTCTTGCAAATGTAATGGATTACCCCAACCACGTACGAATGATTGAGTTGTAATGATACGACGAAAAAGTGCATCCATACTCGTCATTTTAATCGTTTTCTTAGGGTTAATAACATCTAGAAAATTGTTAATCAAATTAAAAAACGATTTTCGTTTATCAATAGGAAAAACAAATGTTTTTTTTTATATCAATAGTTATAAACACGCGATTACAATAAACTGTTGTGTTTCTTTTCCTAATAGATCTCATGAAACTAAGAAAACATTCTATTGACCGGCAGCTGAAATGTTTAATAACATTTGTGGCCCATGTGGTAAGTAAACGATATTTCTTGATCGAGCTAATTGACCAGCAATATCTTCAGCTGCTTCGATACGTCGAAGTTCAATTAAACCTAAACAAATAAATAAGCAGTAGAGAATACTATTGAGAGAATTAGAAAAATACGTACCATCACCGGCTTCACCTAAAGCTTTACCAATTAAATCAGCAGCACGGGCATCACCTTCAGCAGCAATAACATTTGCTTGTCGACTTTGTTCAGCCTATATATTTATATTAAAAATTATATGGAATGAAATGAAAAGTTTTATTTTCTACATACTTTTTCGACTAAAAATCGTTGTTTTTCTGCATCTTGTTGTGCAACTTGTTTCAATTCTACGGCACTTGTAAATTCTGGTCCAAAACTTAAATGAGTCTAAAACAACAAACGATATTTGTATTCATATGTAAATAATTTTCCTATAGATAACTTACAATCGAGATATCATCAAGTAATAAACCAAATTGGGCTGCACGTTCAGTTAATAATTCACTAACACGTTGTGAAATTAATGTACGTTGTGTAATCAATTCAATTGCATCAAATTGAGCCTAGATTATTTTATTAAATAATATTTTACAATGAAAATTGTTGTTTTTTTGAAAATACTTACTACAACGGATTTTAATACTTCATTCGTAATTGACGGTAAAACACGTTCTTCATAATCTAAACCCAAATTACTAAAAATTTTGGGTAAAAATTCAGCTCTTGGTCGATAGAGAATACGTAAAGTGATATTGATTGTTTGTAAATCTAAGATTGGAATAAAAAGATGAGAAAAAAATATTATGTTTTGCTTTTTTAGTACCTTTTGTTCCTGTAATTGATGGGACTGATCGTGGACGAGTACGAATATCGAATATAATAGGACGATGAAGCCATGGAATCATAAAATGAGTTCCTTCTCCAATAACATCGGGTTTAACACCTTGAAAACGGTCAAATATTACAGCTCGATGACCACCATCAACTGTAAAAAGATTTATTTATATAAATATACATATGTTTAAGAATTCTTTCTCATTATTTACCATTAAAGAGCATAGAGTTAGCAATACCACCAGCAATTGCTAAACCAATACCAATTCTTCCTAAGAAAAATAAAATAAATAATATTATTGAAATAATTGTAAACTTTAAGTTTTAAATATTGTCGCTTTTTTTTTGTTAATCAGCAAATAGTTCTTTTTTCGTATTTGTTGTTGATCTTACCAATGCTATTAAATAATCGAGATGATGCCATTATTTATTTATTTATATTTCTACAAGAAACATGTAAAATATCTTAATCAATTGTCTTTAAATAAAAAACACATTTATTTGTTTTTTTTGTCTTTCAAGGCCTTTTTATTAGCAAGTAGTTTTTTCAAAAGGAGAATAGAAGAAGAAGAAGAAGAAGAAACATCACACATGGAGAAACATAAAGAAGTCATATCTCCGTCGATCCAAGAATGCATCATTGTTTGATCTACCTATCCACTACGGTAACAAACTGATGCAATATGTACATAGACAAACAGACATACACTGATATACGTAAGGAATAGAAATAGATTAATCCAATAACAAAAAAGAGAGCAAAAAAATGTAATCTAGCAGTTAGATATCAATGTAAAATCCCAATCAACTGCATAGTAACAAAAGAAGAAAAGAGAAAAACGTGAAAGTTAAACGAAGAAACTTGAAAGAGAGAAAAACATGCACGCTAGTGACAAACCGAAACCCCACCCAAACATAAAGACTCACACACACACGCACACATACACATAAACATGCGCACCGTTTGATACCTTGTACATACATACAAAGAGCAATAAAGAAAGAAAGAAAGAAAGAAAAGGAATTATGTTTTAACACCGTTCGGAAGTTGTCCGTCGATTTGGTTGTCTTGGTGGTACACGATTACGAGATGGAAAATGTTCACCACTAGTTTTTAATGAATTTGGTATTGTTGTTATATCACTGTTAGATCCTGTTGCAGCTTCTTTTGCTGCTGCAGCTGCAATTGCTTCCGGTGCTGGAATAGTCTAAATAATATTTAAATTATAAAAAGAAAAACAAATGTAAGAATTTTCTTTTTACTATAATTCCTGATTTAGTTGGATAAAATTGCTGTGGAAATGAAGCACCATCAACACGAAAATCTTCAAGACGTTTATAATTTTTCAAAATCTCTTCAAGTTTTGGATTAATCTTTGGTTTTCGTCGAGAATATTTTAGAAAAGCCCAAAATTTCTCTAAACCATATAATTGACCTAAATATAAAATAGTATTTAATAAAAAAGATAAATAAATTCTTTTTTAATTGTACCAGCTTCATGATCACGAAGTGTTTCATTTTCAAAATCTTCGAGTACTTCCTGACGAAAATGTTTTTCAAGACCATATGTATAAAAACGAAAAAGACATTCAAGACCATATCTATAAATGTAAACAATTAAAAAATTTTCTACATAAAATAAATATCAAAACATACCGATGACCTGTTTTGCCATCATCAACAGAATACTGTTTAAATTCGTTGTACATACGTCGATTAAAATTTTCACGTAAGAAAAATGACCAAAAACGATATAATGTATTCATTTCCATAGATTGACCAGGGCCACATTTCGTTCGTTCTACAATTACAATTAAAAGTTAGTTCGTTTAAACATAGAATTCTATACAAATATATCTTTTCACATTCGATACGTGTTATTTTAGTTATAGGACATATTGAAATACAGTATGAACGGAAAACAACGAGGAAAAGAAAGCGAATTCTAAATTCTTGTTTTTTAGAGCTAATGCTTTTGATAGCGTCAAACTTCGTCGAAAATTATTTAAAATCTATTCAATCTATATTCATACTCAGCATAATTTACTTTCACACAAAACTACGTTTCAGTCGACCGAACAATTATTTCTCCATATTATTTATACATGAAAGCATTCATGCATAAGATTAATACTATAGAATTGCTAATCTCCTATCTATAATATGAAAAAAAATATTTCTTTCGTTTATATTACCATCAAGACATTGTTGTTTATATTTTAAGTAAACTTGTTGTGTAAAACCATTCTGTTGTAATAATGAATGAGATGGATGTTGGAATTGAGGAATTTCAACTGGTGTTGAACCATAATAATCATATAAATTCGAATTACTACCATAAGTATTACCATACCAATAATGGGAATCATTGTATGATGATGAATATTGATCATAGAAATCTTGTTGTCGACTTCTACATATAAAGAGAATAAATTATGCACAATATTATTTAGATATATATATATAGCGTGAGTCAATAGTTCCTTCTTAAAAGATTTCTTGAAAAACATTATCTATGGTCAAAATCCAATATTTTTCTTCGAAGATTTCAACTATCTAAGTTATAGATCTATACATTTTGTGCCAAAAATCTGTTTAGAAATTTATCAATATATAAACTCTTGTAGAATTCAACGATGTCTATCTAGTCGTATGAAAACATCAAAGTAAAAATGCTTGGCAGGTTGGCTTTAAGCTATTAGCATCTTACGAAACAAGCAAAATTTTTCAAGTAGAAATTCTTACGTAGCACTAGTAGTTGTATTGCTTCTCTGTTTTGTTGTTGCTGCTGTTGTTGTAGTTGTCGTTGTCGTGGTAGTTGTTGCTGTCGTAGCTGTTGATGTATGACCACGAGAATCAAATACCCAACCAACTGAACTTTCCACCGGTGGATGTTCACTATGACGAGTTTTACGTTTCAGTCCAGGTGTCTATTCATATAAGAAATAATACTTTACTATCTGATATCCTCTTCGATCAAAAAACAAAAACTTACATCTGGTTTAACAACAGGAGCATCTTTTGTAACTGGATAAAATCGAGCAATATTTTTCGCACGTGAATGTGGTGTTCGTGGTTCTTCTGGATGTTCATTAGATGCTTGTGAACGTTGTTTTTTCTCATTTGTAGTTGTTGTTGTTGGTTTTGTAGTTGATGGAACACCGGCATTGCTATTATTAGGTAATGAATGTGATACAAAATCGTTTGCTGTAGCTTGTAACAAATTTTGTTGTTGTTGTTGCTGTTGAGTTGAAACTGGTAAATGTTTTGGACGAAAAAATGGTTCAACTTGTGGTGGTGCACGATTAGTTGAACGAACAATCGCTATAGCTGGACTACGAAGTTGTTTTTCATTTGCTTTTGTTGTTGATTGATTATTTTCTATGGAGAAAAAAACGAAGACTAATGATATTTCACGATTACTAAGAATAAAGAATAAATACCTTTATCAGCTTGTGATTGAGAAGTTTCATTGTCATCTTCATCATCATCATCATCATCATCAAGATTAAGTTTTCTTCCACTTGTTGATTGAGATTGATTTGATGCTTTACGTATTGCATCCATTTCATCTTGACTGATTAATTTCACTGTTTTTTCATTCTGATATATACAAAAAAAAATATTTTATTAACAAAATCAGACTACAAGAGAAATACATACTGTTGCTGTTGTTGTAGTTGTTGTTGTCGTTGTTGCTGCTGCTGGTCGATCATGCCATAATTCTTCTTCATACCATCTTAAACCATCATCAATGATTTTTGCTATTTCAGCTGTCATTCGTGCTCGTGGTGTATATTCACCAGTACGATCATGATTTTTGTGATTTTGTTTACGAGTTGATGGAGGTGTTGGTGTTATAATAAGAATTTTATCAATATCATCATCATCTAATTCAAAATCTGAATCATCTTTTTCTCTTTAAAAAAAGAAATCATAATACAAATTAAAATAAATAAAACAATTGAAAATAAAATACGTACGATTCTTCATGTAAGTCAAGTGTTAATGATGTTGTTCGACGTCGATTTTGACGATTTTGTGGAAAAAATGAAGATGGAAGATAAGATGATAATGTATTATTGGTATTTGCATTATTTGTTTGTGTATTAGGTAATTCTTCATCAAATTGAAAATCTAATTCTTCACGATTATCCGAATGAGTATGTTGTTTTGATTGTTGCTGTTGTTGTTGTTGTTGCTGCTGTTGTGGAGTTACCTGAGACTGTTGTTGTGGTTCCTTTTTATCCTAAATTAAGAATATAAAAATATTTGAAATTAAAAATTAATTAATTAATTAAATTACTTTTTTCTTAGTGGGTTTCTTTCGTTTAGTTGGTACATGACTCCAATCAACTTCATTCGCTGTTGATCGTCCTTTTTCTAATATATGGGATTCATCATCAAGTCCATTCAAAATTCTATTATCTAAATTGAGATAATTAGTTGATTAAAAAAATTTGTACTATAAATTTTTAATATATATTTACTTTCATTCTCATTTTTCCACATTTTACCCGGTTGAAAATCGGGGACATCAGGATTAAGTGCGGTTAAATGATTACTAACATCCATAATAAGTGGCCAACGTGTTGGCTCAGTTCGACAACGTACCATACATTTATCATTCAATTCAACAATAAGACTATCTTTAACAGCCTAGAAGAAGAAGAAATAATAATATTAAGTTTATTTAAAAATAAAAATTTTATTCAAACATACTTCAGCTATAAAACTAATATCATCACATAGTGTTTGAACTCGATTAAAGCTTGCAATAAGTGATAATGGTACATAACCATCTTTAGACATTTGTTGTCGAAGAAATATATCTGCTTCAAGATTTTCTGTACTAAAATAATATTCACTAAAAATATGAAAAAAAAACAAAATAGTAATTTATATATTCATTTTCTTTTCTTTAATCTATATTATTTACACTTGACGTCGTAGAAGCTCTTTTAATTGTTGTTCAGTGTAAGATGGTACTAGTGGAATTGTATATTCATCTGTATTAATATCAACATTACTTAAAGGTATATCAGTAGCTGGTGGTGGTGTTGTTGATTGATAATAATAAGCACCTTCTATATACGGCAATACAAAAGAACAATCGTCAACAACTACTGCTTCATCATCAAAGATAAAATTATGCACATCACGTTTCATAGTTGCTACATGAGAATTATTAACGCCTGCTATATCTGAACCGTCTGGCAAATAAAAATATATAAATAGAAAATAATAAGAATAAGAATATAATATAATATACTTGTTGCATCTTCAGTTTCTATAGTTGGATCAACACCAAGTGGTCCTGCAATTTTCTTTTTTCGTTTATTTTGTTTCTCATAATGCCATGGAGCTCCATTATCACCTCGACCTCCTTGATCATAATCTAATGAAATAAAAATAATTTGTTTTACAAAATATAATTAAAGATAAAGATTTATATACAATAATACGAATAATAATCTTGATACGCATCATAAGCTTGTTGATATGCAGCTGCGGCTGTTGCTGCCGTAGCAGCAGTCGTACGATTTTTACGACTTTTCTTTGGTGCAGCTCCATCAAGACTACGTGTACGATTTCGACTACCGCCACGTCCACCACGTGAACTACGATTACCACGACTTCCTTTTGTCGAAGTTGTTGTTTTTGTTGTTGATGTTGCTGGACGATGAGCACCATTTTGAGCATTATTGGCATTTGATGTTTCACATTCATCATTATCTTCTTGTTGATCTAATGGTAATGGTAACCATTTTTGTTTGCCTTTCTTTTTACGTGTTCGAGGTGTATTTGGTTGAGATGTTCCATTTTCATTAGATACTGTTTGTTCATTCGATGTTATTGATGATTCTACAGTTGCTTCGGCAAGACTAGGCCAATCTTTAGGCTATAGAAAAAAGAATATAAAATAGAATGAAGATTATAGGAAATATATTTTTTTCGTTCTCACTGGTAAAAGAGCAGTGTCAGGTGGTGTATCTGTTGAAGTATTATTAGAATTTGTCGTTGAGGATTGTCGCCAAGCTGAACAGCTGGTTAAGTTTGATACGGCTGTTTCGTTTGGCATAATGCCTCGAAATTTAATTTTATTCTGAAAACGAAATAAGAAGGAATAGAACAATTAAAAACAAAACAAAATTTGATTAGAACTTTTTCATCTAAATTAATAGATAATATTAAAAATTACGCCATTATTTATATTTTACGCAGTTATTAAAAATAAAAATGATCATTATCAGATATTGACAGAGAAAGTTAGAGCAATATGAACACGTGAGGATAACTTCTATAGTTTTTTTGTTTTGTTTATTTACTATGTCCATATGCATTTACATCAGGTGCGTATTTTATCTTTCGAATGGTAAATTATGGATCATACAATATACGTCTCATTGGTAAATTGTTTGTAACCTTTGAACCAAAGAAAAATAATAATTATGATATATTATAGACCTCACTAAGAAAATATTTATTTTGTAATGAAATTATAATTGTGAAATTTAGAATTTCATAAGATGCAGAAAATAAAATGAAAGTACGAACTGTAGTATGATATTGATGTCGCTATAATCGAACAAATTATTGAGTATTATTCAAATGTAGTTGAGTACAGTAGTGCATCTTGGATTAGATTTTCATATATTGATAATCACGATTCAATTATATGAATGAATTTGAATAGAACTAAATAGAAGGACATCTATATGTCATATCAAATATATGGCAACGATGGAAAGTGAAAGGAATTACTGTAGTAATAGAAAAATTCTTTACGTACAAATATCTAGAAGATAAAATCGACAATTGAGTTTAAGAAATGTTCTCTTCATTCATCTAAATAATAGATTCTGTCAGAAATCATTTGTTTTCACTCATAACAATCACATGAATAGTTTTGTTATTTTATCTTAACAACACATTTCATAAACTATGGTTCTTTTTTGTATTGATTATTAAATTTCTCAAAAATAAACATTTCTTTTCTGATGTAAACGCTCAAGAATATATAATTTAAACTATCTGAAGAATCTTTTTTGTTTTGATCCGCTACAATTTATTTCATTGATAAATAAAACAGAAATATTATCATTTAAGGTACAATGACTTATAGTGTTATCATCATTATTTGATAAAACACATCAAAATTTTATTTCTACAATATTATTACATAAAAAACAATAATCATATATGTTCATTAATCATTGTTAGTGATGGTTTTCCTTTTTTTTCTATATCAGCAAAAGTTACAAAACGTGTTGTTGATTTATTCGTTGTACGAGGTAATACAACACTTGCATCTTCTTCATCTATATCGTTCAATTGTTGCCTGTCTAATCTATTGGGTATAACTGATGTTAATTCTGCTCTTGAAGCAGTTGTTGTTGTTTTTGTTGATGAGGAGGAGGATGACGATGATGTTAATCTATAACAGCATGGGTAAAGTGCATAAAATTCTCGTCGAAAACTACGATTAATATAATTATAAATAACAGGATTCATCCAAGCTGATAATGATGATATTAAATATGAAGGTATTAATAAATATCCATAAACAAAATCTGAATCATTGAGTAGAATTGCTTCATTGTGTTCTAAATAAATTTGTAGAACAGTTAATGGTAACCATGAAATAGTAAAAAGAGCAGCAACACATATTAATAATTTTTTACTACGATGAAAACGTCGTTCACTATGTGATTGACTTCGAGGTGTTGGCACTATATATGTTCCAACAAAAGAAGAAGATGATGAACGATGATCTTGTCTATCTAAAACAATTGTATCTTGATAATGTTCATGTTGATGAAATGTATTACGAAAACGTGTTAATATATGATTTGCTTTCGTTTCATTTGGAACTATTGTTACAGATACTTCATCGCAACTTGCAGATTCATGTTCAGTTATTTCATCGAGTGGTTGTAGTTTAGAGTCTTTTTTTTGTCGTTTATTGTTTTTTTTATTATTATTATTATTATTATTATTATTAACATTTGTTGGACGATATGTTTGATATACACGCATTTGTTTCATACGTCGTTTAAGAAAACGACTTATTGAATAACAACTCACAGATACAAATAAAAATGGTACTAAATATTGTACAATTATAACGATATATGAAAATGTACGCATCCATACATTAGGATCGGAAAGACAATAATGAACTTGTCTCCTATTACATTTATCCATATGCAGCATTGCTAAAGCTGCTATATGATTGTGAGTTGATTCATTTGTTGACGAATTAATTTGTGAAATGGGAAATGATGGCATGGGAGGTGGTTCAGGGATTACCTGGACTTCTCGAGCAATAAATTCTGGTATAGCTATTAATATTGAGACCATCCAAAGTAGAATAAGTATTATAATAGTACAACGTCGGTCGAATTTTTTTTTAATAACAATAAAAAACCAACGTTCAACAGCGATAATAGCAACAGTAAATGTTGATACAAGTGCTGTTAATGTTGGAGTAAAATGAACAAATTTACAAAGAAATGCTCCAAATACCCAATGTTCAAGTAATGCAGCAGATATTGTCATTGGAATAGATACACATAGAACAATTAAATCATTTAAACCTTAAAAATTTCATAAAAAACAAAAAATGATAGAATGTCATTTTGTTTCTTTCTAAAAAGAATTTTTTTTTAACTTACAAAGATTCATTAAAAATGTATTTGTAATTGATCGTAATTTTTTTTGTTGAAAAAATATAAGACATACGCTTATATTTCCAAATACACCAAAACAAAATGGGAGTAAATAAATAATATATATTAATATAGTTACAGATAGTGAAAATCTTAATTTAACTATTGGCGAATTGTCAGTAAAATGATCACCACAATCATGATCACTACTGTTCATTAAATTTAACGCCATACGTTGTTTAAGATTTCACTAGAATTTGTAGATGAGAAGAAAAACAAAATTCTAGAATAAAAGACAAAACATTTATTTTATTTTTTTATGTACCTCCTCATTAAAAAGAACAAAGATAAAGCTAAATAAATTAGTTTTGTTAGATTATATGAATCTCTCAAAAAATGTAAGTGCAGTCTAGAAAAATGCATTCACTTAAATGTTATTTTTATCTTATAAAACTTTCTAATCCGCTGATCTTACTTACTTATACGTAAACATTTAATTGAGGAAAAAAAACCGGTAACAGTGTTAATATAGGAAACAAGTACCAGTTAGACATGTGAAGTTAAGCTTCCTTTTCATACTTTATCAAAGAAAAAGCAACTTTATATTGAATAAAAACGATTTACAATTAATTAAACGAAATCCTTTTCTTTTTTTTTATTCAAAAGAATTGCATAATTATTTATGTATTACATTATCTTTCTTATTAAAAAAAGAAATATGATGATGACATTTTATTTACATTTATTCAAACTTTTATTTTTCTCATCAAATAAATAATTATATATAACTACTGTCGTTTATAATAAATACTAATACATTCAGTTGTCCCAAAAGACGAATATATAATTATTTACCATTTACTATTTCTTCTAAGAATTTATAGGAATAAGAAGAAAAAAAGAAGAACAAGAACTTAACTGTATATAAAAAAAGTAATCTTTTATTGTACGATAAAAATTATGTTCAATTATTAGTTGTCAATAGTTAATAAAATAGCTAAGTTAATACTAATGATAACTGACACTTATAAACATGTTCATGTCCGATTAGCACTGTAGATCTGTCATCATCTAGGAGTTGTTTTCTTTTTACTTATATTTTATTCTGACGTCGAAAAAGGGAAAGCTGTCAACATTTTTCTACTTTTATATTAATAATATCCTTATAAAACATGCTCATCAATGTGCGTGAATAACTTGTAAGACCGAACATCCGTTAAGAAATTCTAATGGTAAAGAATAATACTTAGGTTAGAGGGAAAGAAAAAGTACATCATATTATGACAGAAAAATAAAAAATGATCGATGACAAATGGCGAGCATCTTTCAGCTGCATATATATTAACCAGACGTAGCAAATAGACTATTCTATGAAGACTCGTTTTCATACTATAGTTATATATACTTTGCGGACAAAATAATATCTTTTACTAAATATTAAATCATCCGTTTTCCTATTATTTTATCTCAACATGTTTCTCTATTTCATTAACTTCCTCTACTTCATGTAATAATGAGTCTAAAGTGAACGTACCTTCATTTATTTATTATCGACGTATAAGCTCAGTCGGTTCATCTTTTCTCTTTAAACTTTTTGAAGTCACGAGTACTGGGTACACTCTTCTATCATGTCTTAGGATTATTTACAATAAACTGCCTTAAAGTCTATAGTTACTATTCAAAACTTATTATTAACAAATCAAAGGATGTTACAATATTAATCTTATTGAATTTTTTGTTTTCCATTGAAAGTTTTCTAACAAATTTCACTTTCTAAGACAATAATACTAATCTTTATTTTTCCTAACATTATGTAATTAATAAAACAATCTTATATATTATGCTAACATATTAATCTATAGAACGACGTCAATGAAACTAAAATAAGCATATACATATATTGATATTGTTATTTATTCATTTATTTCTCAAAGGATTTTATCTTTACTAATTCAGTTGTTACTATTACCTTAAAATTACATTAATATATAATAAGATGATAAGCATATATTAGAAAACATTCAAAAGTTAGCTTATCGGAAACAAAAATATATAAATACAAAAAAGTGTTAGGACAAAAAAAGGCCAAACGAAGTACATAGATATATATATCTAACACTAATGGTTTTTCGACAATGATGAATTGATATTATGAATATGTATTTCGGAAAGGAAAAGGAAATAATGAGATATATTTTATGACAATAAACTGCTTACTTCTAGGTTCTTCTTTTCTTCTCGTTTACTAACGAAACTTATGTCGTCCTAAATACATTTTTATTATAGAACAAAAAAACTAAAAGAATGTCTCTATCAATTCTTAACAAAAACATAGAGAAAGAGAGAGAGAGAGAGTAGAAAAGAAAGGAATAAGTCTTTTTCCTTCTTCTTCATGATTATCATGCGCTAAAATAATCAATCATAATGTATTTGATATGAGAAAAACAATTTCATTTGTAAAGAGTTCTATGTAAAATAAAAAAAAAGACAAACGAGTCTACCGTCTCATTGTTATATTTTTCTCTCACTATTTATGTCAATTTAGTCTTTTTTCTTTTTCTAGTTTTTAAGAGAAAAAAAACACTTGATGTATAATTAAGTTTTAGCGGAAGGATATCTAAAAACAACAGGCAAAAATAATTATATATACCTTCCTTGCTTCTAGTTCTTATGCAATAATTATGTATACAACAGCAAAAGAAACAGTTACGAACAATAAAGAGACACTCATATATATATATATATATATATATATATTAATATTTTACATAATTGGTAATGTTTACTTTTAGTTCTATCTGATTAAACAAAACTATTAAAAGTAATTATTTTTCTTCGAAACACAATCATTTTTTGTAAATAGTTTTTATTGACTTACTATACATTGTTAATATTATAGTATAAATACTTAGTTGACGTTTGAGAAATTATCAGATTAATATCTACGTGAGATCTTGTTTAATCCTTTTTTGCTATACAGATAAAATTTATCCTATAAATTTAAAGTATCTAAGTCATTATAGTACAATCTAACCTTAATCATAGAAATGAAGATACCCAACGGAGAAGAAGATTCTTTTTATAGGAAACGATAACTATTGTTTATTGAAGCAGAAATACTTTTCTTATATTTACTTTTTCTTTCCTGATGTAAAATTATACTCTGTTAACATCGATCAAATTTGTTTCTACCTGATAAAATCTGAACAATATTTTGCTTTTATAGAAAAAAAAAGAATTTAAAACATTAAAATAGATATTTAATTAATCTAGCAGAAAAGTTTAAATCTAATAAATAATGATCTAGGTTTATGTCAAGAGAATATGGTTTTTTAATACAAAAAACCAGTCATACTTAAGCATACTTTCGAGTATCTAACAAATAATATGCTTGCAATTATTCATACATAATTTTCTTTGATATGACTTTGAAAGAAGAACATCGGTAACAACATAATTATACTTTGCTTACTTAGTCACGTTATTTGTTTAGTGTAATTTGCAAAACAGTAATTATACATGTAGCAGAATATTCAAATTGACTAATAGGAGTTGAAACTATGAATGCGTAAGTAACATCAAAACAAAAAAAATCATATAACTGATAAATCATAGATTACAACTTCCGAGCAAGAAAAAAAAGAAACAATATACAATTAAATATTTAAATATTCAATATTAAAAATTGTTCTATATTATAATATAGATTTTTTAATAAAAAATTTCTGTTCTATTTCTAGTACTTACATAGGAAATACTTATATATGAATGTTAATTTCTTGTTTTTATTAAATGCGAAATATAAAAGAAAAACAAACTATGCGCATTTTATTATTCAATCAGATGAAAAAAGAATGACATTAAGCTTCATAAAGTTCAGTTGATTATCATAGTATTGTTTTCTTTTGGGAAATATCTCGTCTGTTCATCAATTCTGTCTTATTAAAAACAAAGATTTTTGCTATGTAAAATACACTTCATATTCTCTATCAAAGAATACAAATATATATTAGTCTTATGTAAGAATAAAAATGTTTTATATTCTTACTAATTTTACAATAATAATACCTTGAAAATCCTTTTTTTTTTAAATAAAATCATGCATGGTTTAGGAATTAAGTATAACGTCATTTATTAACTATTTATAGAAAATAAGAGATTATATTTAAAATTAAAAAGAATAATAGTGAATTAGTCTGGAATCCTACGACTTTTAGTACAAAATTATATGCACTAGAACAATGTTCGTAATTTATAAGTCCTTACAGTCTGTTGAATATCTATTCCACCTACACTTGATTATCAATTTTTGTAAATTAGAATTATACTATCTTTCATGAAACTTACCTTTTTTAATTTGTTGGAATATAATATAATTAAGTTTTCTTGTTGCTTACAAAAAATAATATTCTACATAACTTACTCTGTGATATGTGTGTTTCTAAAAGAAGATAGAACAGTATTAGACAAAGTTCGCTATCAACGGACATGTTATATAATGGTAAATTCGAAAAAAATTCATCATATATAATAAGTAATTAAATAAAAGTTCTTTTTTTTCTATGTATCGAATTGATTATATCAGAAAATATTTACATAGCATACGAAAATATTTGAATGTGACCTGTTTAGAAAAAAAAATGTTCTCAGATGATTTCCCAAGTGACAAAAAAATCAAATATACTTGAATAGAATTAAACTTGCTTTGTTAAAATAGTGTCAAATGTATTTCCGGAATTTTTTCAAAAATGTCATTGTCACTAAATGTAAGTTTCACACTTTTAAATTATTTTTGATTATGTCTAAAAGGTTCCTATTAATCATATTAAATCTATATCCTTCGAAAATCTAGATATCGAATAGATAAATATATTAAAAACAGCTGTATCGTTTTAAACAGCTATTTGTTTTTTCGGTAGAAATTCTACAGTTAATCTATCGATTCTTAATCATTGCATGATTGCATTTAAAATATTAGTTTTTAATAACTATCATATGTTTTCTATTGTCGTCTCAAGTTTGTCATATCTAATTATTTCACATGAAAAAAATAACTCAATTTCCGAAAATATTTATATTAAATATTAGAAAAAAACACACAACATTTCTATCATTCTTTTATTTACAGTTCAGATAGTACTAATATTATTTTATTTCATACTAGACGGAAAGAAATCATAGATTAACATACTATATTATTTCTCTTGTCTTAATATTACTTTTACATCTGGA